GAGAGAGAGAGAGAGAGAGAGAGAGAGAGAGAGAGAGAGAATTTTTTAATTTTTATTTTTCAGTTTTCGGCAGACACAACATCTTTGGTTGTATGTGGTGCTGAGGATCGAACCCGGGCCACACACATGCCAGGTGAGCATGCTACTGCTTGAGCCACATTCCCAGCCCCTGCTTGAATTTTTTTAAAATGGACTTTATGCTTTTGTGATTCTGACAGAGGTAACTTTTTTGTTTTGTATTATCATTTCATGCATTTCTTCCCACAGTCTGCCTGAGTATCAAGAGCAGGTCTTCCCAAATTTGCTGTTCTTCTCTAGTATTTTCCCATGGTAATAAAACATCCTGACTTATGCAGGACAACTAGACCTGACGACATTCAAAGACAACAACTGAAATCAAAAGTCCTGGTTAGACTGCTGGCTGGCTGACAGTCCCGAGCAAGCAGGGGAGGGTAGTGACATCCAAACAGGCCTCTGGTTGTCTTGTCTTGAATAGCAGCCCACACAAACTTAGACTACTCTGGCAAGTTTAAGGCCTAGAGAACCTCTGACATGCTTCTCAGGAGGCGCTCCTTCCCACAGAAATAACAAAAGAACCGAAAATGGGGCATTTCATCCTAAGTATGCAACTCATGACTGAAGGTTTAAGAAAGAGTTAAAAACTGACCCACAACACTATGGTGAGATTATAGCAGGTAAAAAAAAAAAAAAATAGCCTAGGAGGGCTTTAAGTCCTGAAAGAGAAATACACTCCTCATTCTCAGGAAACTGTATCATAAAGATGACAGTTTTCCTATATAAGTTGTAAAATAAAAACAATAGCAATAAAATCCCTCAAGTTACCTTCTGGAACTAGACAAACCATATTAAAAAAAAGAAAAGAAAATGGTAACTCTGCCAGTTATTAAGAACCATAAAATATTTATAAACTAATATTAGGACATGAACAGATTGATCAATGCGATAGAATTGACAGTCCAGAAATGAACCAACTACATATGAAAATAAAAGCAACATCAATTGGAGAAACAAGCTGGGTTGAGATAGCTGCAAGATCATTTTGAAAAATTACATTCATTCCTCATACTATACATCATGGTAACTTCTGATTGAAATGAATTTGAAATATAAAAACCATATAGGAAGCAGAGGGGAAAAGTTAGTTAATTCCTCCCTAACCCAGGAGTAAAGAAAATTTTCATACCTCAAGAATCCAAAAGCAACAGAAAAAGCACTAATTTTTACTCTAGTTACATTTAAAAAACACACAATTTTTATGTGGAAAATGACGAAAAACCATGAGCAAAGAAAAAATTAAATACTGGGAAGAAATATTTGCAATATATACCACTGAGTATATAAAATCCCATACACAAAAGAACTCCCAAAAATACAAAAGAAAAAGACCAAAACCTATGGAAATATGAATTGACAGTTCAGTGAAAGAAATACAGTGACTCTTAACCATATGAAAAAATAGATAACATCTTTATACAAGAGCCTAGCTCGCACTCACTAAGGCAGATCTAGCTACTATCATTGCCAAATCTCCACTACGCCATCCCCCAACTCAGCACCTCCCTCAAGGACACCAGCCAGCCAGCTGATGGCAGGACATTTACAACTGACCCTGGAATGGGCTATCAACAGAAACATATAGCCCAGGTATTGGTTTCTGGCCCACAGGGCCTCAGCCAGAACCACTAATGGGGGTTCATGGAGTATTTAATCCACTGATATGGGATTCCTCAAAACATCTTAGACTAAGGGACCAGTTCTGCAGCAAAAGAAGTGCAGAAGTGTGTACCTGATCATACTGCAACACCCCAAAACTGCCAACCAGAGTGCATGATGGATGGATGCTCTGACCAGAGGCATAGGTGAGGCATCAGCCAGGAAATGCTACCTAGCAGGGAAGGGATGCAGCCCACCAAGGTGAAGTATCTGCTATAAATTAAGGACTGCTTTCTGGTGCTGTGTTCCTAACAGGCAGAATTCATGGGTCCAGGAACCAAAAATGGATATATGAGTGTCCCTACTAACCATCACCCCTCATGACCAACTTGGGGGATTTGAGCTTGCAATTCTAAGTTCCATGGGTTTAGAAACCCTGGTTCCAGTAAGGACCACAGGGAGTCCCACTGAACTGTGAGCTATGGCTGCTAGGAACTGCCAAAAAGCAAGAACAGAAGTCGGTGGTGGTGGTGGTGCATGCCTATAATCCCAGCAATTCAGGAGGCTGACATAGAAAGATCACAAGTTCAAAACCAGCCTCAGAAACTGTCTCAAAAAATAAAAAGGCTGAGGATATGGCTCAGTGGTACAGCACCCCTGGGTTCAATCCCCAGTACTAAAAAAAAAAAAAAAAAAAAAAAAAGGAAGAGAAGTAACAGTCCTGGCAGGAAGAGAGGCAGGACTGTTGTTATGAGGGCAGAGGGGAATATGGCTGGCACCCAGGTCACATTTGCAAGTCATATTGTAATTGTATGCCTGCCTAATAATGAGAGTGAAAAGAAATGTGCAGCAGCCATGCCAGAGTTCATCATAGCCAGGGGCTCAGAACCCTCAAGGATGAGTCTGAATCACGAATCAGGTAAACTATCCAAACCAGGTGCCAGTCATTATTGTAAAGGAGTATACGCACACTTTCTTCCCTTGATGAAGCATAGGAAAGGTGAACTCCATCGTGAGATGGCTCTTAGTCCCAAATTAGGGTGTACTGATCCTTAGTACACACTGCTGCACTTCTTTTGCTTCAGAACTGGTCCCTTAGTCTAAATGTAACACTTGAGATATTTGAAACTGTATGATCCAGATTCTGAAAGTAATTCCAACAGGAGAATTAGCATGTCCTAAGGAAACAAAAGGGCTCTTAGGCCCTTTCTAGACATACTATCTCTTAATAAACCCAGGACTAAATTTCAGGATCACTTGAGGCTTAAGAGGTGAGCAAAAATTGTCCAAGGACGTGATATCCCTTAAGGAGAATTGGGGGAAGGAGAGCATGGAGGGAGGCAAAGAGCACCCATGAATTTCTAACCTTTAAGGAAATTGAATTTAGTCTTCAGGGAATGGAAAATGAACTGGGGAAGGAGCTAGAAACAATTTTATAAGCAAACTAATTTAATATTGTTTCAGAAGACAAAAGAAATCCTCAAGCCCAAGATCTGTACGTAAAGTATAATATCAAACAAATATTGAACTTCAAAGTAGTCATCAAGTGGAACTGGATGTTCAGTTTAACCAAAATATTTCTAAAACATTCTTCAAAAATACTGCAAAATCCAGTGAAGTATGGAGAAATGAACACAGGTTTTTATCTTACTCTTCCCCAAATCCTACTGAAATGATAGCAAAGGTGGGGAGCAGAAAGACAAACACTCAAGGAGAAGGAAAACAGTAGAAAAAAACAGAACCTGAGAAGCAGGCCAAACCACTAACATACATTAGCATGTTCTCACATCCCTTCTTTGGGAGGCTCCGAGAGAACTGCTTCACCAAAATAAGGACAAAATAAAACATGAAAAATAGGGACTCCAGAAAGGAAAAAGTGAAGGACTTTCAAGGACAGTGGTGAATAAATGCTCCAGGTTGACACGTGCAGTAGGCTTAGCGAGTGACCAGTCCACAATGGAGTAAGGGACTGAGGACTCTAGAGATTACCTGATTTGCTTAGAAGCAATATACTATTTAATGGAAGAGTTTGGGTATAGGTTAATGACAGATTATAAAAAAGTAAATGAAAAACCTTGAGGGAGTTATTAACCCTAGGAAAACAAACAGTTGTACAAAAAAGGAGAAAGCTTAACTATAAATAACACTTACACAGTCC